CAATTGGTTCTTTATCTCCCAACGAGTTCAACCATACCAATTTTACCAAAATCCGACATCAACTCGACCCTCAAATCTTCAAATTAAACCAAGAGGATTTTCAAGATTTTACCAACTAAAATCACAAATTAAATGTTAAAACCAACAATGGATTCGATTAATCTAACCAAAAATTGAGTTAAGAACACTTACCCTGATGTTTTTCTTGAAAATCACTCGAAAAATCGCCTCACCCGAGCTCCCCCAACTCTATTTTTGTCAAAAATGGCCAAAAACCCCGTTTTATAACATTTTTCCGATTCGGGTGCCACATGTGGCACCGGGCGCTGCCTGTGGCGCTGGTTCGAGTAGCCAAAATAAATCCCGGCGCCATGGATGGCGCCCCGCGCTACCCTGGGCGCTAGCAATGGAAAATTATTTTTCCCCGACACGAAAATGGGCATAACTCTCTCATGCGATGTCCAAATTGGATGATTCTTTTTGCTATGGCTCCAAAATTTCGATACGGATCTAATGCAACAATAAAATCTAAATTTGGAGCTCATTTTCATAATGTGATACCATTTACTCTTGAAGAACGACATCAAAACATTCTTGAAATGCCCAAGTTAAACTCCAATAACCATCCAAATTCTACCCGAGGCCCTCGAGGCCTCAATCAAATATATCAACAAGTCCTAAAATATCATGTGGACTTACTCGGAGTTTCAAATCATGCCCAGCAACGTCGAAACTACAATTCACACCTCAATTCGGACTTATGAGTTTTAAACTTTTCCTTTTACAAAGCGCATGCCGAAACGTATAAAATGAATCCGGAATGACTTCAAATTTTGCACACAAATTCCAAATAACATTAAGAAGCTACAACAACTCTCAGAATTTTATTCCAACCCTCAGATCAAAATCTCACCTATCAACCAGAATTTGCCAAAATACTAACTTCGTCAATTCAAGCCTAATTCTACATCGGACCTCCAAAATTACTTCTGATCACACTCCTAAGTCAAAAATCATACCTCGAAGCTAACCGAATCATCAGGATTCAAATCCGAGCCCTCTAACACATAAGTCAACACTTTTCCAAAACAAACCTTCCTTAAAGAGACTAAGTGTCTCATTTCCTACTAAAACCAATCCAAATCAACTCATTCACACCCAACACTGATAATGAAGCATAAAGAAATAGGAAATGGGGAAAACGGGGCGGTAACTTACGAGATGACGGGTCGGGTCGTCACATCACCTGAGTAGTGTGTTTGGTCAGAAGAGATCTTTGAAATCATTAATGAATGCGAACGGATTCGATTTCAGTATGTGTGATGGGTAAATATTGAGGTTCGATTCAAAATTTGCTATGGTAATTACCAGGAGAGAAATGACTTCATGAATGGTTGACATAGGAAATGGTTATGTTTTATTGTGTGTTTCCTTTATCATTGGCAGTATGTGAAAGTGTTGGAATAAGGCTTTAGTTGTTAAGAGGTTTCCTATCGATATTCGATTATTATGTGCAGCTACTGTAAATAGAAATTATTGTTCCGAGTGTTTGAGTTATGTGGTATATCAGATAATTGCACCTAATGTTGCAGGTATGGGTTATTACAGCTGGTTCGGGCTTATTCTGAGTATGGATGTGAAGTTCTAATCTTGTGTATGATTTCGGAAGGTGCAGTGTGGTTCTATGGTTTATGGATTAGATGGATTATGAAATTTCAGCTATGTTGTGTTATCGGATCTATGCGAGATAGGGTAGTGTGGGATCACCCACGGGTATATTCTTGGTAAAGTCGTTCAGCTATTGGTTAGCTTCTAGGACAACTCTGGGTACGCTCGAGGACGAGTATTTGTTTAAGTTGGGGAGGATGTGACGACCTGACCCATCGTCTTGTGAGTTACCGCCCCGTTTTCACCATTTCCTATTTCTTTATGCTTCATTATCAGTGTTGGGTATGAACGAGTTGATTTGGATTGGTTTTAATAGGAAATGAGACACTTAGTCTCTTTAAGGAAGGTTTATTTTGGAAAAGTCAACCGAACGTTGACTTATGTGTTAGAGGGCTCGGATTTGAATCCCGATGATTCGGTTAGCTTCGGGGGATGATTTGTGACTTAGGAGTGTGATCGGAAGTAATTTTGGAGGTCCGGTGTAGAATTAGGCTTGAATTGGCGAAGTTAGTATTTTGGCGAATTCCGGTTGATAGGTGAGATTTTGATCCGAGAGTCGGAATGGAATTCCGAGAGTTGTTGTAGCTTCGTTAGGTGATTTGGGATATGTGTGCAAAATTTCAGGTCATTCGGACGTGGTTTGGTCGGGTTTTTGATCGAAAGTGTATTTCGGAAGTTTTTAGAAAATTAGGCTTGAATTCGATGAGTTTTGGGTAATTTGATGTTGTTTGAGGTGTTTTGATGATTGGAAGAGGTTTGAATAATGTTATGAATTATGTTGGCATGTTTGGTCGGGGTCCCATGAGGCTCGGATAAGTTTTGGAAGAGTTTTTGGAAGATTTTTGCCGTTTGAGCATAAGCATGTAATGATCCAAAGGTCCATTTTTAGTTCTAGAGATCGAAATTTTATTTCGAGATTTCCAGAATTTAAATAATGAATTATAGGAGTGATCTGGAAAGTTTGGTCTAATTTCATCAAGTCGCGATTGGGTTTTTGACACGAAACATGAGTTAATTGTTTAACGAGCGAAATGGATATCGCACTGAGCAAACGAGCTCCGAATTGAGTTTCGATTGAAGGACTATGTTTGTATCATTATTTGTGACTCATAGGAATAAGAATCATCGAATTCCGAGTTCGTATGATGGAGTTAGAGCCATTTTAGTAAAACAAAAAGTTCTGCAATTTCTTTGGCTGCTGCTGTATTTTTTTTAGCAGCGTGAAGAGTAACCGCGCGTGCACAGTAACCGCGTGGGTGAACAGTGACCACGCGCTTGTATAGTAACAGCACGGANCTTATGTGTTAGAGGGCTCGGATTTGAATCCCGATGATTCGGTTAGCTTCGGGGGATGATTTGTGACTTTGGAGTANTTTTCCTCCATGGTTGATCATTTTGAGAGCTTCTTGGTGGAGATTAAAGAGGGATTCAAGGGGGGAACGACTTGAGGTAAGTTTCTTGGACTTAGAACTCGATTTTATTGTGAATTCCACCTAGAGATTCATGAAATATAAGCCTACAAATCAAGAAGTAGGGCTTGAATTTTGAAACTAAACAATTAGGATTTGATGGGTCATTTGAACTCGGATTTGGGATTTCTTGGTATGTAAAGACTCGTGGCGAGACAAGGAATCCGGTGATGTTAATTTTCTGATTTTTCGAGACGTGGGCCCGGGGCTCGGGTTTTGTCAAATTTGTGAATTTTGATATTTTTTGATTGGGTATTGTCTCTTTAGCATAATGCGACATATTCGTTGTGATTTTGGGCAGATTCGTCGCATGAGGAGGGTAATTTGAGAGGAAGGGGCATAGCGAGCTAAACTTTGACCGTCTTGAGGTAAGTAATTGATGTAAATGATGTCCTGAGGGTTTGAAACCCCGGAATTTCACATCGTAACGCTATATTGAGGTGACTTGCACGCTGGATAACTGGCGTGGGGTAGAGCACCGTTGGGGATTGTGACTTGGTCCGCCCCGAGAGATGTTTTTACCGTGTTTTCTACTTGAACTAAATTGAGAATCATCCTTACTTGGATTTAATTGTTACATTTGGGCTTCTTGGCAATTATTTGAATCCTTCAGGGATTGATATCACTGCTTTCGCATATCATTTGACCTCAGTCCAAGGTTTAAAATACTGTTTTGCAAACTCAGCCATCTTTCTAAGATTTGAAAACTTAAATGATATTTCTAAATGATATTTCGGGTTGAGAACTACAGTTTTACAAATGCCCAAGGGGCTTATGATGATTTCTGGACTGAGCATGGATCGGGATGCGCGCCGCAGCAGTGTTATATTGATATTGAGGTCGAGAGCCTGGTTGATTACATTGGTATTGAGGCTGAGAGCCTGGGTGATTATACTGAGATTGATATGAGGCCGAGGGCCTAGATTTGATGCCACGAGATGGCTTGATATTGCGCTTGGGCTGTAGGAGCCCCTTCGGAGTCTGCACATACCCCCAGTGAGCGTCGCCGACGATAAATAAATGGATGGCTCGGGCTGCACGCCGCAGTGGGTACTAGAGTGTACCATCATATGTATTGTATTGCACTCATGCATTTATTTTTATCTGTTATACCTGTCTTAGTATTTGGTACTCTGACTTAATTGACTTGTTGTTTCACTATTTGTTGTTCTAAACTGCCAGTTATAGTTTACTTTGTATTTTTCCATGATTTCTTATTCTCAGCCTTTATTTATGTTTATTACTCACTGGGTCG